TCCAAGTCCCTATAGTAAAGTAATGTTCCCATGTAGGGCTTGAGGGGGCAGAGGTCATAAAATATGAATTTGTGGAACAGTAAGACTTTGTGCCATCTGTGAAATTTTGACTCACAGAGTGGTAGTGGCAACCTGCAAAAAGGTGTTATTTTCCATTGACAATGGAATGAAATTATCCCAGTGCCTTTCAGGCAAAGTTCATCAAGGAACTATATTTAAGGCAATCACTAGTAAGTTGCATTGCAAGGCACATGCAAGCAACTCAGGGTTTTTTTGTAGATATACTTCTGAGCTTTTTGCCAGTGGCTCATACAGTGGCCTTCTACAGAACATCAAAGATGATACATTGGGAGATCTGTGATCAGATCATTCAGGGCCATTAGGGAAGTGGGAAAAGGGTTTAATCCTTTCACCTCTGCATGGTTTCACTTACCAAACCATCATTCCAATACTATTATTAGGAACAGAAGGAGAAAAGACAGGCATAAAATGGGTACCCATGCTTTTCCATCCAAAGCTAATAGGAGCAATGGGTTGTGGTCTCACTCACAGCTTGCTCACCAGTTACAATCAGAGTACTGATTGTTCTCAGGGCTGTATTGATGCGTCTGAACAAATGTCTGTGTATCCATTTGCATTATATTGCTGTCTCACACAGCTACCTGCTCTGCCCCCGTCTGTTGATAACTTCAGTTGTTAAAAGGCACATTAAAAGAAAATGATCCATTTTAATATTTTTGAGTTGCAGCTTACTTCTTAGATGCCAGTGTGTGCCTACAGTGTCCGCCCATCAACCTAGTAACTTTGCAATTAGCTCTTGTGATTATGACTTGATCCCTCTGACTAGGCAGGTGCAAAAAGTATGCTGTGTATCCGAGGAGTCGTTTAAACAATGTATCTGGCTCCAGGCACAAAGAGAGGGTTAAGCTCTTTTTGTAGCAGGAACTCCTTTGCATATTAGGCGACACACCCCTAATGTAGCCAATCCTCCAAGAGCTTACAGAGCTCTTCTTACAGGGGCTACTGTAAGCTCTTGGAGGATTGGCTACATTAGGGGTGTGTTGCCTAATATGCAAAGGAGTTCCTGCTACAAAAAGAGCCCTGAATTCTGTGCTTGACAAGTAGGTCAATCTAATGACCTGACCGTGGCCCCAGGGGATGCACACTTCTTCTCTGATAGTGAGGTAGTGTCTGAAGATCCCTGGCCTATTACAACTGATCTCCAGGTGACAGAGATCAGTTCACCTGGTGGAAATGGCTGCTTTGGACGGTGGACTCTGTGGCATTGTACCACATTGAAGTCCCTCCCTTCCCTAAACCCCACCCTCTTTAGGCCCCACCCCACAAATCTCTCTGTATTTTCCAACCCAGAGCTGGCAACCGTACTAATAATTGAGGCAATTTAATTATCAGACTGTGCAAGTGCAAAAGTAGCTGTGGGTCCCGTTCACACGGAGGATTTACTGTGCTAAAGGAACAAATGTCAGGCGGATTTTCAGGGTGCGATCACACCGCAACATCTGGGAAGCATAGCGCACCCGTAGCCAACCCGTGGCGTCCCGCCAAAGATGCACAGTAAAAAACTGCCGCAGAAAGTGCACTAGTATCTGAAAAACGCGGGGCAGGGGTGGGCGTCTGATCGCGGGAGCACTAGTATTCTGTGGCATCCAGCATCCGGCACCCGTCCAGGTCTCGTTGCAAACCGGATGTTTTTCGTAAGTGCATGCGCACAAACACGTAACTGAAATCACTGCTGTTCCACGGAACTGCGCATGCACACAAACGCAAAACGCTTGCCGCGCCACTTCTTTGCCACACTCCAGCATCGCATGTGATCGCCAGCTAACAGCCTGAGCGCGAAGACTCAGGGGACCGTGTGATCGGGCGTTTTGCCCCGGGGCAAACAGCCACGCCTCACCCCTGCGTTATCTGGCCCGTGTGACCGGGGCCAATGAATGCTAAATCAATCAGCTATTTAACGCTAAATCAATCAGACTGCTGTTTAAATAAGGAGTCCCTTATTTAAACAGCAATTAAAATAAAATAAAATTCCATAAAAAAGAGGTTTCATAGAACTACTCGTGGTGTGTATGGGGGGTGGGGTATCTAAAAAAGGCTTAGAGCAGGGGGCTGGAACATATGACTCCAGAGTAATATGTGCCCCAGTACAGAAACAAATGTGGCTCTTTAGAAAATAATATTTAAGTTAAAGCATTTTGGAGGAATAAGTGGAATGCTAGAACAAACAATGTGTGCAAGGGAATTACAGACAAGGATTTTTATAGTACTGAAGGGCTTCGAATGCAATAGAGGTGAATAGTTGCCAGTAATCCAAGTGCAAGCTACACACAGTACCACAACAATCATGCACACACAGGCTGTTTATTGCTTGCGGGATCCCATGCGTGCCACTTCCTAATAAAGGACTCACAACAACCAGCGTTGAGCTGTCGAAATTTTAGGGATAATTAATCCACCTACCAATGATCAGTAATGTTAAATTGTGTATTTTCCAGCCTATTTATATTGGCTAATTATTGATCTCTTGCTCTGAATGGTGGCAAACTTTGACAATTTAATTATAAAAGGTAGCTGACCTCTGCCTTCAGACATCCCAGCTCATTAAGCTGAGTGCTTTCCTAAAGGAAATCCCCACACTGGGGGTTGAATGGATGTCTCCTTCCTAGTGTTCACAGGGGAGAAATTGACCTGTTGCTACAGCTTAGCACTACAGCAACGTGACAGTTAAAGTAAAGGTAAAGGTTTCCTTGCTCGAAAGCCAGTCGAATCCGACTCTAGGGTCGCGGTGCTCATCTCCATTTCAAAGCTGAAGAGCCAGCACTGTCCGAAGACTTTTCCGTGGTCATGTGGCCAGCATGACTAAACACCAAGGTGCACGGAACGCTGTTATCCCGGGGCAAACATTGGTAAATCTACAATAATTGGTTGTAGATTTTCTGGGCAGTATTGCTGTGGCCCTGGTATTGTAGGACCTGACGTTTTGCCAGCAGCTGTGACTGGCATTCTCAAAGGTATAACACAGAAAGATGGAGTACTCTCTGTGTCAAGGTGAGAAGAAAAATGGTAGGCAGGTAATTTATATCAACTCAGGAAGGTGGGGTAGGGCTGAGTCATTATTATGTCGAGTTCCCCAGGCTGTGACATGCTAATGGAGGAGCTTTCCTGAGGAGGTTCTTTTGCATATGGATTGGCTGTTGAAATTCTAATCTTATCTGTAGTGCTATTGTAAGATGTAGAGCATTTTGTGTTTTTCAGGACAGGAAACCGTGCCCTATTTATTTACCTTAAAAACCCTTCAGCGCTGCTGCTGCTGGTCCTGCGGAGATGACAGTTGCAACGGACTGAGGGAAGGTAAAATGGCACACCCTTCCATCCACACGGCCCACAAAGGCGCTTTGACTGCCATCTTCCCCAAAAGATTGCACCAAACCGGATATGGGAAAACATGGTAGTGAGGCAGGGGAAACCCAGAAGGTGGAGGACCTGCAGTGGATGCTCCAACACTCCCCTCTAGTTTACATGTGAAACCAGAGCAACACTTTTGTATGGAAGGAGCCTTGATCAGGGCCGGCTAGGGTTGCCAAAAAATCCCCTCCAGGGGCTTAAAAACAAAACAAAACACAGTGCTCTCTGAGGGACATATGGGGAAAGGCGGTCCTTCAGGTATGTAGGCCCCAGACCATAAAGGGCTTTAAAGGTCAAAAACAGCACCTTGAAATGAATTCGGTATGCCATTGGCAGGCAGTGCAATGCCTTTAGGACCGCCTGGATGTGCTCCCAAACTGGGAGTCCTGTCAACAGCCTGGCCATGGCATTTTGCACTAGCTGCAGTTTCCGGATTTGAGACAAGGGCAGCCCCATGTAGAGAGCATTTATAGTAGTCCATTATCGAGGTGACCATTGTATGGATCACTGTTGCCAAGTCATTGCATTTGAGGAAGGGAAC